TTCAGTTTTCAGGTCTTAACCTGAAAGTTGCTTAAATCACATAGTGAAGTTCTTATCCCAAAAATGTGTTCTCGTAGTTTAATTTATATTTTTGGAAATTATTTAGGGAAGTTTCCTAAAAAATTGTACCTATTTTCAGCTTTATAGAAGAGTGCTTTGCCATCTATTTCTGTCCATATAGATTGCTAACATTTAAATAATCATCCTTGGGTTTCCACTTTCAAATATTTGCCTGCTGTATATTTTTAGTTTATCAGTGAGTATTTCGCATGCTGCTGTCATGATAACCTTAACTGTTCATATTTTATTTAGTATTCTCTGAAATAAGCCAAGTGCATAAAGGCCTGAGATAGATTCACATTTCTGACTCCATTTAAATACTGACAAAAATGATCAACAAACTTTTTCTGCCTGGAGTAGGGTGGTGACCGAGTCAAATGAATGAATGCATGCATGAATGAATGGATTATAAGCAAGAAATACACAGTATTTTCTTGCACTTTGATTCTGCAACCCAGCATCTATCAACCAGGCTCATTGTGATGTTAAACACATCTTTACTTTTAGTGCATGGGTTTTTTAAAAATTCAAATAACATCAGCTCAGAGGACTAATGTTTATGGATGCTGCAGATGTGAAGAAGGAATGCAGCCCTTTCCTTCCCAGCTGTAGCACAAGCAGTCTTAAAAGATCTCTTTGGGGAAAATATTCTTTCCAAATGAATCAGATCCCATCAAAGGAGATTCTTTTCTGAGAACTGAAGCAGGAGAAGAAAGAGTTACATACTCCTCTAGGCCTCTGGTTATCACATACCCAGCTGATAATATTTGCCTCTTTTAAAACCCTGAATGTTAAATACAAAGATAAAGTCACATTAGATAGTGATTGAACACATTTGATCTCTGCTCAGGTTGTTCAGTCCCAGCCTAAGGGTGGAACTAGACAGCCAGATATCTGAAGTATTTCTTTGTCCTTTTTTACATATAAAGGGGAAGGAGATAGCAACCTACACAGAAATAGGCTGAAAGAAACTCAGTCTTCCTTCTCTTTACTTCATTGCTCTCTGTTGCTATTAAGCAGATTTTCTCTAGGCCAGTAGTGATAAGTAGAAATTGCTTTAGGCTAAAGCTTGGAAAGGGAAAGAGCTTACAGTTTAGGATTTGATCTAATTACCTGGGTTCTTCTATATGGTTCTTCTTGATGTGTGAATAATTGCATTTTGTATGTTGGTTAGATCATGCTTAAGATGCATTTAATTAACCTGCTCAAGTCAGGTTTGGTTCAAAATATATGCCTTTGTAGAATTGGAGAATCTCTCACTACTAAAATGTTTATAAGTTAGCAATGGGCAAAAAGAACTTTGGGGTTGACTGACAGATCTTGGTTAATTTGCAATGGATCAGTATGTTTATGGTTTCCACTTGGCTAAAACAGTAATAAAATGTTCGACCAAATAAGTTAAGTAAGGGGGGAAAAAGTGAATGGTTGCAGAGAGACCAAGAGTTCGTTTTGGGATGAAATGAATTATGAATTTGATGCTTGAATGCATGGCAGGTCTTCCTGCTGAATGTTTCCCTGTGCTCATAAACACCTTTTTCCTTAATTCTTAGCACATGTCTGCAGAGCTGTTATCTAGCACTAAACTGGCGTACCTCAAGATATTAGTATACAATGTAGTAAATTCTACAAAGGTTGATGTTTCTGATGTGGATTGCATAGTTGATATGAGAGAAGCAAAGTGCTTTCCTTAGCTGATTCTGCAATATTCCGAAACAGAATGGTTGCAGTGTTTGAGAGAGAGATTATACATATATAGCTAGCATAAGATGTGGCAGGATGAACGAAGCCTAATATTGCAGCCTGCCTGCTGCATAAGTTCCAACCTAAGAATGGCAAACTCCTTTCGGCCTTGTCATGTGGTAGCACCTAGCTGTTCTTGGATTATCTTAGGAAGCTAAACAAGGTCAGATAATACCTGAATTATACCTGGATAAGAGACCAATAAGAAACCTTAGGATAGCCTGGCAAGTAGAAAAACAATCCCCAAAGAATGCAATGACAACCCACTTGTACTGTTGTGAAGAAAACTAATAGGGACATCCATCAAATTAAGTCAAGCCTACTCAAAGATCCTTATGCTTGGAAAATTAAAAAGGCAATTGAAAAAGAGGATGACCAGAGAAGTGGTGGCTAGATACTATCACTGATGACACAAACAGACCCTTACAAGAGCTTATAAGAAGCAGGTGCTGATAGACAATCCTGAAGAAATGATATCCATCAGGTCATGAAGGTCCAGAAGAGAATGAATGAACGAATGAACAGCAAAATTGTACTATAGTTAACACCTCAGAAATTGCCTAATGCGTCATGATTACACTTTCAGAAAAATGAGGGAAAAACCAAATAATTGGATTATAGTAGCTTTCAAAACAGCCCACTTGTATCTGAACTCTTTTACCCTGGCCTTCAGAAAGACTAGATATGGCCAAGGCTAAATAAACAGTAAAAAATTGACTGTTGGCCACCATTGTTCAGTCAGCCAAAATTTTAATGGCAGGAGGTTTATTTTGATGCTAAATGTTTTTAAATGGGAAAAGGATGCTGTGGTCATCAAATGAATAATTTAGGCCTGGTAAACAGACTTAAAATATTTATAGGATTTGGGAAGCTTTGAAAAAGTAGAACTTTCATTTTGCTCCTCTCTTTAAACATTTACAACTTAACATTATATATGGTTACTCAAAAGGAAATCCCACCATATTCACTGGCACTTACTCTTAAATGCCACTCTGAGTCATTTTTTTTTTCTGTTTTTAAGAGCTAATAAAACAGGATATTACAGCCAATTGCTGGATTTTTACATTTTAACTTCCTAACTTGAGAACTATATACTGTTCCTCATTTTGTCATAAATGAAGTTTGAACAATTTATGGACCTATTTGCCAATATTGGCTTTCAGAAGAGATCACATCTAAGTAGGGGCTGTGGAATTGCCCAATTTATCCTCCTTCCCCCTTCCATCAGCCCATGAATATTTATAAATGTAATTAGGATATGTTTCAAAAATAATAGAATAAGCTCCAATTATGCTTCTGAAGTGATTGTCATGGAGGACCAATGCAAAGGAAGGCCTTGTATGAAAGTAGCAATGCCATGCTCTCCTCTCAAAATCTGCTTTTTTGAACTGTCACCAAAGAGGAAAAAAGCATTGAATTGGGTGGTAACATTCTGCTGAGGAATTCTTTTAACTACCCATTAGTTTGCATGGCTTCCCGTTGGATTAATCCCATCCCCAAATACTTTCTAGGACCTAAAAGGATCTTGATTCAATTCAGTGGCCTCAGGTGCCCTTTTTGTCTTCAGATATGCAATTGAGAAAGACATAAAGAAAAAACAGCAAAGGAGCAAGAATTAAGCAGATGTACAAGAGTTGGTCTACTAGTTACTCAAAACAATGAATAAGCAGCCAGAAGCCCTCAGAGGAACCAGGGAGTATCCTTAGGGGTCGGAGTCCCTGTAATTCCATTTTTTAGCCTAAATTGGATTCTGGTGACAGGGTTGGGCTTGAGTGTGGACTACTATACCTTTGGTAATCAACTCCATAGCATGCCACCCAGCTTTTAGAAGATTAATCAGAATAATCTCATCTTCCATTTAAGCTCAACTGCTCATGGCTTCATAGACAAGTCCATATAATAAGAATATGGAAATGATCTGTCACTGCCTTCTTCTGTCAATGCCTGTGTTCTTATGTTGAAATTAAATGTACCTTTTTATTTGAAGCTCTAGAAAGAATTTTTTATTCTCTTCAAGTAATCCATATTTTTAGTTTACCTGTCAACCTCAATCTGTTTTCTGGGATCAATATCCAAATGAACTAGTCATGTTGGCACACTTGATAAGAAAACCAAGCATGAAACTCAAGGATCTTTACGTGTTCCCTTTCTCCTGGCCCCTTGAACCTTGAGCAGTGTTCTGAAGGAGTGAAAGTACTATTGGAGCAAATAAGGTGGATGTAAATGGAAACATTCATAAATGTGGTGGTGCTGCATAACTCTCTTTTTACTGTTAACCTGAATGGTGAACATGTCCTTGACTGAATGTAGCACAATGCCTTAGTTGTTCTTAGGATCAAAGTCCATTAGTATTATTTACATGATATAAAAAGTGGGTATTATCTTTATTAGATGCAGTATTTCAGTCTGCAAGATTATTGTATGTCAAAGAGACATGATTTACTAAATAATACTGGTGATTGTGTGGAAGGTTCTTTAGAACACATTACTTGTGAAAAGCACAAAGAAACATTTGTTGAGGTTTGCTTTTAAACAAAAGCAGTTTGTGCCGAACATTACCCTGGGAAGGTCTTCTTGGTTGTAGCACCTTTTTTGTGGAATACACTTCCAAGGCAGATGCCACTCGTTTTCTTTTTGGTGCGAGGCAGATACTCTTTTTCTTCCACTTTAGGCTGCTTTTTATAGTCTGTTTTATCCTTTTAAGTGGCTGCTCTGTTCTGGTGAGTTCTGTATATTTTGTGCTTTTCCTGTGTAGTTTTTGTTGTATTTTATTGTCCTTTGTTCTGGTTTCAGTCTGTTCAGAGAATGCTTTGTTACTGGGCAGATTAAAATATATATAATAAATAAAACAAGACTTGTACATGAGAAGTTTCATCTGCCACACCTTGTGGCAAAACCACCACATTCATAAAATGCTCCTCTCTGGATTGTAGCTATTATATTTAATATGAAGAACGTTGCAAAGCTTGGCTTAATTTTAATTGGTCATGGTGTAGTAGAATTGAATAATTCTATAAAGCTGTGAAAACAGAAGGTATAATCTAAAGTTAAAATAATAACACTTGCGCAATAAGTTGCATTTCAGTTCAGATCATTATGGTATATGTGCACATTTTCCACACACAACGTTTTAAGTTTTTGTTTGTTTTTTTAAGTTTGCCTTGGCAGTCACTAACTTGGAATTGTCTCTTTTTTTTCAGAGATTGAAGCTAAGGAAGCATGTGATTGGCTGCAAGCAGCAGGATTCCCTCAGTATGTTCAACTTTATGAGGGTAAGTAACAACACAGCTCAAAGTTGTATGATGCTGCTTTTTAATAATGGCATGGTTGTGCCATTATTACTTTACATAGAATAGATAATAACTGTAGACAGGTTAGAAGGTGACGGTATCAAAATTAACTTCACATACATGTGCTCTCTCTGTGTTTTACAAAAATAAGATTCTGTTGTGTTCGATGCCAAACTTCAGTACTGCTGATAAGGCAATCAGATTAAGGATTTTGGAATTATTTTGGAACAGTACATTACTATCTCAGTCCATGTTGTTCTTTTGTCCTAAGTAAGGGAAAAATTTGCTGCTAAAATTCAGCAGCAAAATGACAATAACACTAGGTAGACCAGACCATAAAATCAGCTCTACAGGATGTTTCCAACTACTGCTGTTGAGATTGTCTATAATAACGGTATCTGATAAGTCTGAATTTGCTGTACCTCCTCTTCCATCTTATAATTCAGTGAATTAGGGAGGTGTCTACTGAATATTACCTAGATGTTCTGGACTTAAAAAATGCCTTCACCCTGTTGCCTTGGCAACAGAGTCTGCATATCTCCATCAAAGTCATCTTCCTTACTCTCTAAAGGTAAAAAGTATGTAGCAGCGTGACTTTCTATCTATAGGATAAAAGGCTGGAGGATGTCAACTTCTTCTCCCAGAAGCCCTTTGGATTTTTACACTTTGGACTCACCTTCCTCCCTTAATGTAGCTGCTTCCATCACTTGTCTTCTAGGGCTACCTCACTTGGTGTCCTTCCTGTAATCCTGACCTATGAGAGAGATAGGACTTCTGGGGAATAAGAGGAAAGAAATAGAAAGAATTACATAATTTCTGTAGCAAGACTTCCCCTCGCTCCCTCCCCCCCCCCCCCCCCCCCTCCCCCCCCACCCCCCCCCCCCTTTCCTCTTTTTTCTCTCTCTTTCTTTCTTTCTTTCATTTATATAGCCACCTATCTCACATGTGTGACCCTGAGTGGCATACAAAGTTAAAAACATAAAAACAATACTGTACCTCAAAATAACCAAAAACATAACAGCAAAAATAATTTAAAAAAACATTTAAAAAAACATAATCTGCAGGAGAATGCACTCAGTTTCCCTAGCAATATAACCACCTTACAAACTCCATACCCATGTTACTGGATCCCAAGCCAGATGGCAAGCTGTGTTTTCAGGCCCTTCTGGAAGGACAGCAAGGTTGGGGCCAATCTGACCTCACAGGGAATGACCTTCCAGAGGGCGGGTAGCACAGCAGAAAAGGCTCTGCTGCTCGGTTCTGTCAGATGACATTCCTGAATGGAAGGGACCCGCGACATGCCCTTCCTGCCGAATCTGATAGGATGGGTGGAGGTGATTGGGGAGAGGTGGTCCCTCAAATAACCCAGCCTCATATAATATTAAGGCATACTACTAGAAGATTTGACCTTTTGTCCTGTCTTTTTGGAGAAATAGATCAATTCTCCCAAGAGATAAACAAAATCAAACTTTATTAAAAAAGAAGAAAGATCAAATATAAGGCCTCTTCTTAACTTCATTTGTTAGCATGAAGTTACTCCCTGTTGAATGAAGGAAAGATACAGCTGCCTCAGTAGAATCATTGCTCCTGTTTTACTGAAAGGGAAAATGCAGTATTCCTGTCAGACCACAAGATAGTGATGGTCCACTACAAAGTGTTCATTTACTACTCAGCTTAGGATTTTACAGGGTTCCAAAACCTATCAAAGAAGTATGACAACTTAAAGATAGTGATGTCATATTAACAAACACAGTCCAAAATCTATAACAATGGGAATTATGCACTCTTCCTCACTCTGTACGGAGACAAAAAGGAACAACAAAATCGAAGGTCTAATGCAGAATCTTTTACAGGGTTCCAAAACCTATCAAAGAAGTATGACAACTTAAAGATAGTGATGTCATATTAACAAACACAGTCCAAAATCTATAACAATGGGAATTATGCACTCTTCCTCACTCTGTACGGAGACAAAAAGGAACAACAAAATCGAAGGTCTAATGCAGAATCCTCCTAAAAACACATATCGATTACTACAGAAACAGCATAAATTTCAAAGTCAGGTTCTCTGCTACTTTTCCCTAGGTCTTCTCCAGCTCCTTGGGCCAATCCCAGCCATTTATCAGAACTGGAAGGGAAATGATACTCCCCACTTTTTCTCAGGTGAAGCTCCAGGTCCCCAGAAATCTCCCTTTGTCTTTTAAAAGAACAAAACTCTTTCTCTGTCTGGTGGGATAGGATTGAAGGAAACTCCTGAGTACATGTGCTAAACCCATGCCGGAGAAAAGGTATTCAAACTCATACTATGTCTGGTGTTTAGACTGGCAGACAGACTGCAGTATTGTGGATGTTGGCTGGATGTTGGCAATAAAGTGTTTCTCTTTTTTGCCTAAATGAAATAGAGCCCAAAATATGGTTGCTTATATGTACCTATTCTGAATTTAAAAAAGGGGTGGGGCACAAAAAATATGGTTCAAAATCTTCAGAGCTGCTCCATTTGAGTTACATCAGCACAGCATTGCTATGCTGTGATGATCATGAGTGGGCCAGTTTATTTTTAAAAAATAGTACTATGACTTCTCACTGGAAAAAAAAAAAAAGAATAGCTACCCCGACCCTAGGGCAAACATTGGATTCTAGACCAGGAACCCCAGAAGCTGTAGGACCAGGGGATTAGAGAGCCGTTCTTAAAATTGGCCAATAAATAAGTCCTTCCCTTTCCCTATTATTAGCCATACAAACTGCTGATGCCCTTAATATAAGAATGAGAAGGGCAATTGTTGGGGTTTTTGTTTTGTTTTGTTTTTAAGATTCAAGTGGCTATACATTACTCTTTCCTTGCATTTTTTGGAGTGAAAATTTTTGGTGGGAGGAGAAGCTGGTCTAGGAGTTATTGTGCAGACAGAAAGAATAGGGAAAAAATTGGGAGGGCAGAGACTGAAGCTGAATGTTGAGCTTCCAGTCTTGTTACTATTTTATACTCATTGACTCTTTTTTATATCATTAAAATCTTTTTACTAACTTAATTTTTAATTTAATTCTGGATCATCTTGAAACCTGGACCTTAAAACATTTCTAAGACTTTTGTCTCCAAATAGATAATTTGTTTTTTTCTGCATCCCTACATGCTCAGCTATTTTGTTATAAGTAAATTCTTAGTGACCATTGTAATGCTTCTTGGTGTTAAAGTTCTTTAAATGTTGCAACATCTGAATGTGTGTGTTGATCTGGTAAGCCTGCTAAATACCTGATTATAGAGATCTAGAGGTGGATTTCTAGTGAGAATTTACAGCTACAATGTTCAGTGGTTCAGGGTAGAGTTATACTTGCCAGACCATGCAAAATTTAACAGAGATAAAATATTTTAAAATTGGGCTAATGTTGGTTAATATCAAGGCTGTGCTTTAGAACATGACTCAGAAAGCATTTAATTGTCTTTAGGATTGTAAAAATCTACAGCATAGATCAGGAGCTTTCTTGTAGTTGGGCAGAAAATTCAGCATCAGCATCTCACCACAGCTGTTTGTTTAACTGAATAGAGATGTTTCATTATTTACTGCTGGACAATGCAGCACAGCTAAGCAGAGTGTTCTTAACAAATGATTCAGTTAGGCTTTAACTCACAGGTGCATTGGCAATGGTAGAAAATAATGACACTCACAGAGACAACACTTGGCAGCCCTTTTGTTTATCTGTTTAAGAACCGAGTTTCCTCCTATTATATTGTTCAGATTTAGGCTGGAGACCAAGCCAAGAAGAGTCTATTTTAGAAAATTAAAGTAATAATAACAGTAATATAAAATATCTCAACAGGCTAGCTCTAGCTATTGTCTACCTCTTTTTCTTTTTTTTTCAAAATTCTATATTTGAATGCTTTGATTTCTTTGCTCTGCCAAAATTTCTAGGAAGCCTTCCTTCAAAACAAGCTAAACCCTTTGCTATTCATCATAATTTATATACATAAAAATCTTCCCCTGATGCCATGATAGCAGCCAATTGACTGCTGCAGCCTTCTCTGCTGTGGAGCATTCAGAATAGGAGGAGATGAGAACTCCAGCATTCTCAGTCAACATAGCAATTAGTTGAGGATTATGAGAATGTGCAGTTCCCATTTATCTGGAGGGTTCCAGGCTGGGGGAAAATTATTATAGAACAAGATAGTCATGACAGCAGTAATGTGAAAGTAGCTCATGAATTTCTGGTTTCCCAGAAGGAAAGTCAGCAAAACAGGAAGTTCACTGAGCTTTTGACATAGGCTCATGTTCCATCTGGCTTTGATAAAATGCAGATTGTGCAGTAATCCAAGTCTTGGCATGTGGTAACAACAAGAGACGTTTTGAGTAGAATTTGCTGCAATTCATAAAGTAGTAGCAGTGCTGGTACAGGGAGACCCAGATTCAGATTTTTTTTAAATAATAACTTTATTTTTTTTTTAAAGCATAACAATGAAAAAATTAACAAAGACTAATATTAAGAAGAGAGTATAGAAAAAAGAAAGAAAATTTAGAGATAAGAGATATAAAAGATTAAAAAGTGTGAAAGACAAAAAGAGAAGAAAATCAAAAAGAAAAGAAAAAAATAACATCCGACCCTCCTCACAACACATATAAGTAACACTATACATCCAACTCTTCCTAAATCATAACTTCCATTATTTCTATTAATCCATATTATTTCTAATCATCAAAGCCATACAGCATTTCATTTTTTCCGTATCTTGCAAAAAGTCTAAAAAAGGTTTCCAAGTAGTATTAAAATTACACAATGTCTTATCTCAAATCAAAGCTGTCAATTTCGCCATCCCAGATTCAGATTTTTTACTCCTTGATAAACTTCCCTAGATGGCCAGTAATTGTGTCAGCTTAACCTACCTGACAAGGTTTTTAGGGAAGAACTTTGTTTACTGCCTCAAGCTCCTTAAGGAAAGATAGAGAAGCAATGCAATAAGTAAATACACATCTGTAATCTATGATTTATAGCTGTTGTCAGTCCTGTAGAATGTAAGATCAAGGACCATCTGACATTCAGGGATCTGCAGATGCTGGAAAATCTTACTTGTCTATTTACCACTGCAGGTTACTTGTAAATTTCCAGACTTCTTTCCAGATTCTCAGTGCTGTTGCTTCATTCTTGCTCTCTCCCAAGTGTTTATCTAGGACAGGTCTGCACAACTGAGAAAGCAAATGCAGCTTGTCCCTCGTGCATGGTGGCCAGGCAGGTGTTTGCCATGCCTTTGTTTTTGCAATCCAGGCAGGCGATGGAAAGAGGAGACTTACTAAACCCATGTGGGTTACCACACACAGCTAGTGGGCTGCCTTTTGCTTGATGGGTCACAAGAGCACAACCTTTTTTTCCCCCAGGGAAGAGAGACAATATAAAGCTTATAGAAGTTGATCCTTCTTCCATTCAGCTTGTAAATCCTTACAGGGCATTAGTATCAGCCTATTAAAATTATCTGTTTGGCTCTTGATAAACCTTAAAAAAAAACAATTGTTTGCTTTGTTGCTTTCCAGTGCTGCTGGAACTGCAAATCTGCTGCTTAAATGGTGTATATACAGACCCCTGGAAGGTTTCGTCAAAATGTTAATATTTGTTTTAAAGGCCAGATTGATTTTTCACAGCTCACACAATTTTGTATTTGGCTTCCTACATTATACCTTCCCCTCCCCTGCCTTTTCCTTCCTGTAACACATTCATTCCCCAGTTAAAGCTTCTGCACGTTTCATCCAAGATGATATAAAAAGAAATGTTTATTGTCACAGTTGGGTCCTTGTATTTGATCTCTTGGAGAGAGATGGTTTCTTTGAAAGAAGTTATCTATAGGAAGAACATTTTTTTCTGATTGCTCATCCATCTTGATTCTTACAGATCTTATCTTTCCCATTGACATCACTTCAGTGAAGAGAGAACATGATTTTCTGGACAGAGATGCCATAGAAGCCTTGTGCAGGTATGTAACAAAGACTGCTTCAGGGACCACATATTTGAAATGGAATGAGAAGTTGGTATCAGCTGGAAATACTATCATTAATTCTAAATATTGTTCATCATCCAAAAAATTATCATATTGCCTTCTTTTTTTTTAATGAATTGGGAAAAGTAGTCTTCCCAGATAGGATAGCTAACACTTCTAAGGATAGCTAACACTTCTTCAGTAGAGAGTTCCCAGATCAAGAAGAAAAGTTCCATTTGTGGCTATCTAGCACCCAAACCTTGTTTCCTCATTCAGCTCAACGTGGTTATGGAGTTTTGTCTTGGGCTGCATAAATAGGGCAAGGTGGGTTCATTGCCTTAGTTAAAGTTGCTCGAATGGTCATAGTAAACTTTTGGGTATATCAAGGGTGCTTGCTCCCCTGTTTCCACTCCCCACTCCTTGTCCCTTCACTTCCATTATATATGCACTCTATTTTTTTTATTTATTATATCAATTTATATATTTTATATCCATTTCCTCCATTTATGGTCTTTTAAGCATGAGAAGAACAGATCCATGATAGATAACACTAAATACAGTCCAGCATCTTCTCTCACTCAGATCAACTGTATGCTCAAGGAACCCATAAGATGATATAAATATAGTAGCACTCCTGCTATGTTTTCAGAGACCCCTGATTGCTAACTTTATCTTCTGTGCATGTGTTTAATTTTTACTTAAAACCATCTAATTTGGTAGCTTTCATCATGTCTTAAATTCCAGAGGTGCAGTGTGTGAAGACAAAGCAGTGAAGTCAGTTTCTCACAAGTCTTTGTGGAAGGGATAAAATTAAACATGCTGTTTGCAACAGCACCGCATTTAAGTAGTTTTGTGCCTTTTGATTCTGGTTGACTTAGACCTGGCACATCCATCTTGCTCTCTAATCTAATATAACACTAATCTACCTCTACTATCACATGCAATCTGCTGTGCAGATAAAAGCTGTTTAAAATGGCATTACTTTTAACACATTGCCTAAATAAGCCTTGAGAAAAATGAAGCTAATCATTTAACTCTACAGATTGTGCATTAGCCACTCCAGACATACAATAGGACAGATCATATGTGAACATCAAGGCATGTTTCACAAGTATAAAAATATATTTTATTACATTTCAGTTATTCTCTGTGCGCATTTTATTATATATATCACTCACCATGTTTCTTTAACCACAAAGGCTTAGCATGTGAATTTTTTTTCCTCCAGACTCTTATATCTGGACAAGTATAAGTAAAGCAATTCAAAATAGGTGCAAATCTGTATTTCTCAAAAGTATTCATCAATTAAAAAAAAATCAAATCAATTATGTGATCTGAAGTCTGGAGAAATTCAAACACATTTAGCAAGATAGGTTATAAGTTACCTGTAGACTATACTTCATAATTAAGCATGCATAATAAGCCAACCTTCTAAAAAAGGGGATTGCATTCTTGATTTAAAGAATATCATTCCCCTAAAACTGAGATTTATGCATGTACAGAAAAACAAAATCTGGTTAGGTAAGACTTGGCACAGGAATACAACACTTGTCTGCCAGTATGCTACTAGGAGAACAGTGTACATGTATAGCCTCGTTCCTTTCCTATTTGGAGATGAAGATTGCAATAACCAAGATTCTGTGATGTATTTCAAGGGACCCCTGTGTCTCTTGCTCAGTCCTTTGATGGGTTGTAACACCCAGCATATCAGAATTCAGAACTTAATATTCTATTAAATGTAGAGCAGTGAGTAAAATCGAATACTTCATTGCCTAGAAAGTGTTATCCTCCTAAGCCTTAGTTTAATTTTTACCCAAATTTTAAAAATCATATTCCTATTGGAGTTAAATGTCTTTGTATCGTGAAAAAGCAACACAAAGATATTTTAGGGTAAGAACAGAATCCATAAATGCAGATGTAGTTTTTGAACGCTCTACAAGCTTGAAGGAAAGAAAAACTGTTGGGAGATTCCTCTAATTAAGGAAACAAGATCCAGAAGACATGGTTTTATTTTGTAAAACCAACCATTGTTATACATTGTTTTTCTATGGTCACCTTGTTAGCTATAGTGTATAAAATGTATTTACATGTTAGTCCAATGGAATTGCTGTTTGAAACTGACTTTGTAGCATTGTTAATATTGTGATGCAGGATTACAGACTTTATGTAGTGATAGTTTACAAGGCAAGAGTATTTTGGGCTAAGCTGAATCACTGAAGCAAGGGTTCTCAAACTCTGTGATCCCTGAAATGATAAATGAATATTTGTACTCCCATCGTGAATAAAACTAATATGTCTCTTCTTGGTGGTAGAGATGTACCATCTGTCACTTTAGCATTGAATGGGCTTTATCCCATTCTTTATCCCCCTTTGTGCATGCAAAATCAGAATCCAGTCAGGAATTGGTTATGTGCTGGCTTTTTTAGGCAGAGCAGGATCAAGTTATCAGAGAGCTGCCATAGTGTAAAGCAAGTCCCAGTGTGCCTCACCTGGCTGATAAGAGTATGTGTTTCCTGGAGAAGAAAACCAGTTTGGAGGGGGAAGCCTAGTTCTTGGCAGTCCATATGGGACATGGGAGAACTCACTGCAGAAAAACCCAGAACCTGACTAGCTGCTGGGCCAAAAAAAAAATTGTTACGGAAATTCTTCCTTCCTCCCTGCTCCCTTCACCCAGCCATAGGGCTTCCTGGCTACACATCTCCTACTCTTTGAAGAGCCTATCATAAATAGGGGAGCCATAAAGAGGTGTTCTTGTTCTCCCTATACCCAATCTTTTAAGCCCAACCTGCAGCTCCTCCTTGCCACCCAATTCTCTCTGGCATTTTCACAGCTCTTGCCTGGGATTATGCTCACCACCTCCAACTAAAACATAAACTGCCCAAACCAGCTGGGTTTACTCAACGTGTGAAACCACAAACAATTTGGCTGTTTTGCAAATGCACCTGTGAGATCTTGAACAGACCTGGTTATACATGTTGTGTGAACCCAACTTTTTCTTTGGACAAAAAAATCTATTTTGATCTCTTCTCAGTTCCCTTATGGCCAGAACCTAGCATTGTGGTCTGGCTCCAGGCCTGGCCTTGCTTAGGGAATCCTGAGAGCCTTCAGACCTTTTAAAGTTAGCCTCAAATGCGCCCTCACTCTGGGTTCCATCCTGCCTAATCTCTAAGCTGTACCCCAACACAATCATCATGGAAGTAGAATCCATGGAAGTATTGCTGCTTGTGGAGGGCTTGTCCTTGTCCTCAGAGTGGGAGGAGAAGGAGGAGGAAGAGGATGACCTCAGTTCCGAGTGGAGAAAGAGGTCATCTTGCCTGCATCCACCTTCCCCAAGAGTGATGAGGAACTGACTTATCTTGGTTTACCTTCTTCAGGAGGGAGAACAACCTCAAGGATGAGTTCCTGCCCCCCTCTGAGTAGGGGACTCTGTGTTGGTGGTTCCATGGGACCCAAACTCCAGCATGCTGTCCATTCCTGCTGCTGGAGAGCTCCTCACCCAGCTGCCTGCATTTGACCTCACCAGATGGAGAGGAAGGCTATGACAGACAAGTGAGAAGCTGGGCTGGTCTGAGCCAAGGAGGCAGATCAAGCTAAAGAAGGGGCTAAGTCTGCTGAGTAGTGGGTCTGTGAAGGGAGCAGGGGATGACACAGGGTTCAGAGAGAGCAAGCAGTTATGCTGCCGCAAAAGGATTGGAGAGCAGAGTAAGGAAGTCTGTGGGTAGGATGGACAGTGGCAGAGCAGGATGATCCCAGCAGCTAGTCTTGCAGAAGAGAATGCTGGAATTGCTGTACCATCTGACTAGCTGCTGCTTCTCCCTTGCCTTTAAGAGCTTATTGGGGTAGGCTGGCTTCTTCCAGATGAACACTGACAATCAGCAGGAGGAAAAGCTCAACACTACAGCCACAAATTTGAAGCGGGTTCAGTGGCTGCCCAGCAAGATGTGGAATTCCTCCAATGTTCTCTTCTGCAAAACAAGCCTCCAGGATTTTTTGCCTGCTGCCTCTCATCCTTTCCACGTTTGCATCCCCCCACCCCTACTCCACTCCTCCTGCCGGTCTTGGGCCTCGCTGTGCAGGGCACCTGCCTGTCTGCTTCCTTCCAGCCCTGTGACATGCATGGCCCCTGGAAAGCACCAGGATGGCTTTCCGTGGACAAGACCCCCTCCCACTTTCAAATTTGCACCTCCTCAGTTTTGCTTATGGCCACCCAAGGGTCTTGACCCCCCCCCCCGGAGAACCTGATCTAAAGGACACATTTCAGGTTCATGTGGAATGACTCAATTTTAATTCTAGCCATTTATTTAGTACCCATAATAAATTCCTAAAAGTGAATCTCACCCTGTGATCCAGGCATTAATTCCGTCATACTAAGATTATTTCTTTAATGTGCTGTAAATAGAGCTTCTCTTAAAAAGTGTTTGGAAAATTTTTGTGTTGTAAATTGCAGTGTTTAAACTGTTGTCCAATGAGAGCTTTACTGATTATATTTCACCAAAATATTGGAAACTCATGAGTTCCTTAAAATTTTGTCTGAGAATTCCAAAATATTTCATGATCATATGAGAAAAATGCTAATATAAATGTTATTGCTTATAATATACAGAAAGAAAAAAACTAAAACATAACAAATTAAATAAACAGTATGGGGAGAAAACACAATGGAAGAAAAGAAGGGATCTCAGTTTTTAAACACAAGTTCAAATCTTGCCCATATAGAAAAGTATTGGTCAAGCTTTATTGTTAATCTGATGTACAAGTTGGAAATACTTACCTTTACAAAGATGGAACTCTTCCTAAGAATAATTATTCCAAAATATTTCAAAGAATTTGAACAATAGGTAAGGCTCCAAACTTCACAAATTTCCATAGATGCTTAGATCTCTAGTATATATATTAGATGCATTCCACTTGATTAAATAACCTGGTAATTTACCAAATTGTTCTATTGTATTTGTAAGATTTGGTTGAGAATTCTGATAATCTGATCAGAGTTGCAC